CACTAATACAATTATGAACACACGGCGTTACGGGTAGGCTTTTTGGGTACACCTCTGTCGTAGGTCTATTTTCAGGCTTAACAATATTATTAAAAATAAAAAATAAATTACAACAAATGATATTCTGTTAAGTGATGTGCAGTATTTTTTTATATTTTATGGCATAACTGAAATTTAATATAAAAATGCACCATACAGTTTTATTAAAACGTCAGAAGCTCTAGCCATATTTTATTGCACTGTATATAATATAATCATTTATCATCAAATTGTGTTTACACAGGTAAATAATACTACAATATATTTTAATAGTTTTGATACAATTCCCACTATATCACCATACTGAAACTATAAATCAACGCCTTATTTTATTAAATATATACTTATTACTAACCTCCAACCTCTTTTGATACATTCAACTCTTCCACGATTACTGCTACCTTAAGTACGGTTACGTTCTCACCACTTATTTGACTTTAAAGGGTTTGCAATCCAAATGACTGACCACTAAGACCGTACATCTGACTCTAAAATGTATTGCTTCCTGTCGCTCTGACATAAGCTGTAGGTTTACACGAATCAGAGAAGAACACCGATATCATTAAATAATGCTATTTTGTTTATTTGGTTATAATTATGGAACATTTTGATTCGTTCTATACTCATTTAATATTATACTAGAAATTAAGGTTTTTGAATAAAAACTTTATTTAAAATTATAAAATTCATCATAAATTAAAATCGAAATTATAAAAACATTGTCTGCCTTGTCAAAAAAAAAAAATTAATTTTTATTTGATGAGATTGGTAATGCATCGTTCGTAATGAGTTCTGTACAATGTACAAAGGTAATATTTAGGATTATTATTAAATTAATAATTTAAAGTTAAAGTATATTTACATATACAGGAAAAATGTGTAATACTTTTCATCTAAGCAAAAATATGTAGTCCCAAGTTTAATTATTGAAAACGAAAAGTAAATTATATGTCATTAGTAATCAAATGTTAAAAATACAATTTTTTGAAATTATTGTCCACTATCTGATACCCGTGCATTTCGTTGCCCTTTAAATGTAAAAACTTTATATGACTCAAACTCTGTTCAATTCGTTATTTGATATTTGGTGTATGGTGTTCAAAACTTTTTCGTAGCCCAGTTCCGATTCTTCAACTTTTTTTTAGGTGTAACACACTGTAGAAGCAATGACTTTTTAAGTGTAAATTATATTATATTTGAATGTATTTCCATCCCGACCGGCGTTGTCCGTGAGATTCGCCGCAGTATATTATCAGGTAGGCAATCTATCTGTGGTAGATCGCGGACCCCGTGTGGTTTTTACGTAATAGTGTATACATAATTCAACATTTAAGTGTCACAGTTATACCAAATTTGTCGTTTTTACTTAATTCAACCTACGGCGGATCAATATAACCAATTAATACAAAATCCTAACCTAACCTAACCCTGCTAAAATCCGATGAATAAAAAAAAATCAAACATTCGTATGTATAAATAAAGAAGAAAAATAAAAAAAGGCAAAATAAGAAAAAAAAAAACAATGGAAAATTTGGTCCAACCAAACCGTGGTTCGAACTTGAGACATTCTATACTTACTAAAATACATAGAAGTGCCACTGCAAGAAAGTTGAGAGTCGCCGTCCACGATGGACGCAGCGATTCTGGTGTATGCCACTTTCAACACCGTTCGTTGTCTGTTATGAATCGACGATATTAGACATCAGTAGAATGTCGTTTTTCCAGTGTCTCCTGGCCCTTAGACGTAGAACATTTTCTTGACACCGTTCGCTGTTCGTCGTTTAAGCCGCGCAATCACTGTTCCCAAGAAACGGCTTGCTAGAAATTCAACATGGTTTTCGAACTGGGGGTCTTATCATCCGTTTTCCATGGTACATGGGAGATTTCTAGACACTGAAACTCGATTTTTAAACATTCCCGCCTTAGGAACGAGATCGCCAAAAAGCCACGCCCGGCCTTATGACTAATTCTTATCACCAAATCACATCTGACCACCAAAATCACCTTCATTATAAGTGCAACCTTTATAACTTTTATTTCGTTACATAATTATAATATAAAACAAATCGTATTAACTAATTAACGATTAAACTCTAAACACAAAAAGACTAAGTTCCTATATTTTTATAAACAGTTTAATAATATAATTAAAAAAGTACGAATATAAATTTGAATTATCTACCTATTGATCGTTTTTATTATTTTAATTAAATATGCTATTAAAAAAATTGTTTTTCCTGTGAAAAATTGTTAAGTTTTTTTCATATATTTTTTAGAGTTAAAATAAAAATTAGACACCAAACTTCTTGTATAGCAATAGCACTGGTACATAAATTATTGTCGTATTTAGCTCGATAAAAGTTTCCAGCTACTGGACTTCCCAAATTGTATTTCCGGGCGAATATTGCGATATTAATTTTTACCGCTTTTCCGGTGATCTAATTTTTTTTAGTTAACAAGATTATATTTATGTTTCATAATTATAATAATGTGTAATAATTATAATATACACTACCTGTTAGATATACGCGGTCAGTTAAATTTTAACTTCGATGGTTGTTGGTATGCAAGGAATAGATACCGGTTAAGACCTAAAAACAAAGTAATATAACAATTTAAATATATTTTTTTTTATTTTACCTGACTCGGGTGGTGGCCCAGAGCCTACGTATTCTCAAATTATGTCGCCCTTAGTATTGTCGCCCGCAGGAATATTTACAGCAAGCCAATGATTGCATATATTAGAGAACGTTCTCTCTACGACTTGGGGTCTGGGGCATCAACATCTAAGACAAACATTATCAATTTGAACATATTTTAATATTTTATACTGTACATTCATATATCATCCATGTACTATTATACCTTTTATACTGTGTACATTTATATACAACTAAATATACTACATTGTTACAACCTTTGAAGAACCTCCTAATATACTGTGTTTATGATGTTTATATCATATAATTAGTTGACAATGTAGATAATATCAATTATGCATTACCTGTTATAAAAAGAGTACACCACAAATTTTGATCAGCTGGCCAGGTTACTGTTGGTCCATTCTTCACTTCAGTAGATGTGAGTTCGTATATTATAATAGGTACACTATTATTTTTTTAATATTAATATTTTTATTTTTATTATTTAGTTTATTTTTTTCTTAAATACTATTGTATTTTTGACATCCCCATTTTCTACTTTTCCTGTGGATTTTCCTTAAATTGTCTTTCTTATTAACGCCGAAATTTTTTAATGACGTCGGAATTAACGGCAAACCGCAGCCACATAGTTGACATTTTTATAAAACTCCTTCAAATGCTAGCAATGTTTAATGATTTAAGAGGTTTTAGTAGAAAATAAAAATTCTCCTGTATGTTTAAATATGGACTTTAATGATTAATTTTCACCATATCATACCGATCTGAAAGATGATACGATTTAAATGTTGAAAACAAATTGTATCATTTTAGTTAAATTATGTTTATTTTGTGTCCTAAGAAAACTTTTCAAAATTGTTCAACTAAAGATAAGTTCATTTTTTCGTACATTTTTATATTTTGAAAGTCAAATTTTGATAAGTGGAGGAAGTCCAAATTTATTAAAAGTAGTTAGTTTAATCTAAAAATGAAATTACTAGGAGTCTAAAGTGTTTCAAAGTGTATGTAAACTTTTACAAAATTATAATTGCTTATCCTTATTAAATCCATACGTTGGAATAAAAATAAGTCTTTTTACAAGGAAAAACATTCAGTTTCGTCCTTAGAAATCTACATAATCTTAAAAAGTTATTCATAATATCCTAACAGCATTCTCATTCAAACAAATTACTTCTACAAAGTTTTAACATAGATTCATTATTTTTTTGGTCGTGGTGTTAATACAAATTAGCTACAAAAACTTCTAAGTAAATTAATATCATCGTGGTTACAATTAAAAAAAACTCTACCGTAGTCCCATGTCAATATGTTATGAATATTAAATTTTTTTATTTAGAACCTGTTATGATGACACTTAGGTCCTAATATAAAATTTTGTTCTCAGCCAAACTGTGTTGTTTATATAAATAAATATGTATCTCAAATCTTAGTTATTTAAAAATAATTTTAACCGAAAACCATAGGTAGGTAATTCACAATATAACTCAATTTTTTTTTTTTTTTTAAGCTACAACTCACCTGCGTGGCTGCGTGCCTGCGTGTGACACTATCATAAGAAAATGGTTGGCTAATTGAACTAAAAGAAAGGGGAAACTGCTCTGCTAAGCAGTAGGAGTCGATTTTAGTGTACCTCGTCACTGTGATTTACTTAATGATGAGGTTGTCGTCTACTTCCCTTCCTTTTAAAATTAAATTGCAATAATTTCTTACTGGTATTGTGGTGATAGATCTAGATTTTATGCAACTTTTAGGTTAAGAAAATTAAGAAAATTCCCAGTTCATACTTTAAAACAAGCGATAACCAAATGTATAACCAAAATATTTTACTGTAGACTAGTAGGTACATATTATAATATTGCATAATATTGTGACGTGATACAGTATGGTGAAATAATAATGTTACTTAAGTTATATTTTAAACGTCATACCATATTATGCAAGCTCTGGATGTTAAGCTTATTTATACTAATTTATATCGTACTTACTATAGTTAAGGTACTGCATTTTAACGACGCTTTTATAAGAATATCTGGGTATCGGGCAATAATAATTAATCGTCAAACTATGTGTAATAAATAATAATATATTATCACACTAAAATACATAGTTACACTAGTGACGATCAGATTTATTTTATATTTTATTGTTGCTGGCCCACAATAAAAATATGACCACCATGTTAGCTACGGCACTTTGTTGATTATCCGATAGTATTATAAGGAAAAATATTAGTTAGTGAAAATCTTCGAGGGTCGTCTGTAGTTTGACACTTTATGCTGGGAACAAACCACATCGATTATTATGGCTGACAGACGGAAAACTAAAAAGCAATCGATGGCAAAAAAGTTAGCAGAACGTGAGACTTTGAGAAATCACGAAGAAGTATCGAGCAGTCTCACCGACGATTTGGCCGGTGGTAGTGGTCAAGTAGAAATGATGCGTGGTCGCCGGTCTATGAGGCGAAGGTCGAGGAGACGCAGGAGCCGGTCGCGGTCCAGAAGCCGTCGGGGCAGAAGACGTAGCGTCAGCGGTACCGAAGAAGACGACGACTACGAAACGGCTTCAGACACTGAAGAAGACGACGATGACTCGACAGCGGTGGACGCGTCTTCCCGTAGGAGGTCGAGAAGGCGGCGGAGGGGCGGTCGGCGACGTCGTCGTCCATATCAGGCGAGTGGTAGCGACGATGATGATGACACGGAGGCCACTGATTCAGAGAGCACGGAAGACAGCAGAGGTCCCTCGACGGCAGTCGACAGCTGCGGAAATCCTTGTGGCAGCAGACGTCGCCGGAGGAGGAGGAGGAGGAAGAGTAAGTGCGCGGCTAGACGTCCAAGAAGACGGTCGACGGGGTGCAAGAAGAGGAGAAGAAGAAGGAGGAGGAAAAGCAGTTGCTGCATTGTTGCAAGCATTGATGGTGCCCAAGTTCAAGCCCAACGATCAACCCGGCGACTTGCAGGGTCGAGTGGATCAACAGGTCACAGATCCTCCACGTCGAACAGCACTGGACCGGACACAGCTGATACCCCTCAGTGAGATGCCTATAAATCGACCCTCGAGTCAGGTTCGTCCTCTGCCTAAACTGAAGAACGCAACCTCTCCGACTCGTCTATATTTTTCAGACATTTTTAATGTAAATAAATAACCACATTTTAAAACAACAAAAAAAAACCAAATCGTGTATAGTTATTCCCACTTTGAGATTATGCATAAAACGGTTAATTTAGGCATACGAACTTATCAGTGGCGCAACCAGGAGGAGGAGAGGTCCCAGGTCTGCACCTCCACACTTGGATGGTATTGTTATTACTAATACGGAAATATCATTTTTTGATGTGAAACATCTTATGCGCCTTTAAATTAAAAAATAATTATTCTTAAAAAAATCTGAATATTTTAGATTCTGAGCGGTGCGAAAAATGTACCTATTGGTTTTACAATGATGTGTTTTTTTTCTGTCTGTCAGCAACATTTTGGATAGTAAGCATGCTTCGATTTTTGAGATCATCATCATCATCAACTAGGTTCCTAGTTGGTACTTTTGGAAGTGAAAATTGAAAATTCCAACTAGTTTTAGAAAGCATCGAGGAAAACTACCAACAAATTACGAAAAAACCGTTAAAAATGGGATTTTAATTTCTAACGCTTTGTTTTTATCATAGCAACGAATAAAAAATAATAATTTAATATGGACCACGCTAACCGCTCAGAATCATTTTTTGTATACAGTCGTTTATCATTAAATATAACACATCCATTACAACAGTTTACTACTGTATAGCAGAGCAGTACCCACTTGTCTACCTTTTTTTGTTATTGATTCCGTGATGTTTATTTCCTTTAATAAACTATCGTTTAAATTTGAATGCATATATTCTATACAATATAATTTCGATTTTTCACATCTGCCAGACGTCCCTAGATGCCTCACTTTTTTAGTTATGTTTATTTGTTTAACAAATATACGGGGACCCACCCTGCTTGAAAAAATGCTGGTTGCCACTTTTATAGAACCCAAAGGTTTTTTTCGTTAATGCTGTTATCAGTTTCATAGACTTTCAAATCATATAGACAGACTATGCGTTTCTCAGAGACACTGACAACGGTACTGCACGGGACGTGGCGAGGCCTGGGACTCGGGGGTGGTTTGTATCCACAGGTCATTGTGACACACGATTATAAGAGCAACTAGTGTTAACATTCTGGGGGTGCTAACAAAACTATTTATTTAAAATAACCCATAGGGGGCTTTAGAAATTTAGAAATTTAGAAATCAATAATTTTTTATGCACACGATCCGTTAAACAATGGGTTTTTTGCTGTGCAACTTATATTTGTGGTGTAAATTATTAAACAATCTAAATTATTGTGAACTCATCATTATACACTGTGCCAACATTTAATAAATATATCTGTACACGGTGCTGAATTCAATTGAATTTGCTAAAGTTAACAATATTTACTCTGTGTAGGTAATAGGTATATAATAATATTGGTATGACTTTTATTTTATTTTATGTGAAATATCCTTAAAAACCATACTTGTTTTAATTTTATTAATATTAAATATGGATTTTAATTTAATTTAAATTTTATGGTAATAGTCAATAGAGACATTTTTTTTAAACATCTCTTTAATAATTTAATAAGTGTGATCTACTTTAATCGCATTAACCATCCTCATATTTTCAATACCTAACATTTATATTTCTAACTCTTAAACGTAATACAATAAATAATTAAAATAAAAAAGTTGCTCTGGTGTACAGTAGGTTACAAGTGCAACACACTGTAATGGATGGTGTTAAATTTGAATTCAATGATATAATATTACCATTGTATAAGGAAAACGATTGTGAGCAAAAACGGTCAGTCAGCCTATGATATTACGATGTATATTTGATTATATTAAGGTGAATAAATTAGTTTATATATAACCTATTTACGTGGAATCTTGTTTTAAATTTTCAATCCTTAGCTATAAAAGTTAAACATTTTATACATTTTTAACTACAAAATATTTATTAAATTTTTAATTTTTAATGCTAGAACTTTAAATGCTTATAAAAAAAAAATTGGGACTATGTATTTTTAATATTTTTCAACTGCTATTGTAACAATATATCAGGGGCTTTGTATTAAATTTTCAAGCTTTTTTACCCAAAAATAAAATTTAATTGATATTAATAGAAAAAAAAATAAAAAAAATGGAATACTGAAAATGTCCGTAAACAGCTCAAAAAAGTCAACATATTTTTAAAATTGTATGGTGTACAGAAAATACTAATATAAACATTCAGTGAAATTTTCGAGTATCTACAGTCATTCGTTTTTTAATTACAATAAAATAAGAAAATCGTTACCTGAGAAATAGAGTGATTATCAAATGTTGTAAAAATATGAATTTCAAACGCTCATAAAAATTTAATTTGAATTTCTAGTAGACATATTTTTTTTTTGATAAAGGTAGACCAACTTATGAGGGATCTTGAATTACATTTTCAAATCTTAGATTTAAAAAGAAAAATTTTTATGAATCCTTAACTAAAAATAATTTGCTGTTTTTCGTGATTTTTCCGTATATCGTCAAGATTTGAACTTTAAATGCTTATAAAAAAAAAACTGTAACCAAGGATTTTTAATCTTTTTTCAACTACTATTTAATATTTTGTATAACATTTTAAAATCTTAGATTTAAAAAAAAAAATGTTTACGTATTTTGTGAAGATTTGAACTTTAAATGCTTATCAAAAAAAATCCTGACTATGGATTTTTAATTTTCATCTGCCTTTGAAACAAGTCCTTCAATTCAAGCCTTCTATTAAATTTTCAAGCTTTTTTAATCAACAAATAAAATTTTATTGATATTCATAGAAGAAAAAAACTAAAAAAAATGGAAACTGGAAATGTTATGGTGTATAGAAAATGCTAATATAAACATTCAGTCAAAATTTCATGTACCTTAGGTCATTTGTTTAAGAGTTGCACCAAAAACCAAAATCGATTTTTTCGAAAACAGATACAAATTCCCGTTTTTCCTTCATTTTTCTTTTGTTTTCAAGGCTCTTTTGAAAATTACTGTAAAAATTTTATTTTTGACCCCCCAAAAGTACAAACTAGATTCACTTTCCTATCAAAAAAGATACTGTTGAAGAAAATATAATCATTTTTGCTGTCCTAAAAGGCGATGACACACACCAAAATAAAAAAAAAAACACATATCATTGTAAAATCAATACGTTCATCGTTTCACTCAGAATCTAAAATGTAATCTACCAAATACTAGTGTATTTAAAATGATTACCTTATCTCAAAAGTTACAAATATTTAAGGCCTTTCGACTGGTTATTGGTACCTAGGTAAGTAATAGGTACAACTAAAACTATTGTATAATACATAAATAATATTTATATTAAAACTATGATATAGGTTAAGAAAATATTTATGCAATGTGTAACAAAATTTATTTAAAATTGACTTTGTTCACCTGTATATCATAAAATATACTTTAAAAGTAGAAAACGCCACTTTTAAAGAAAATTAGATGGTGACTCTTTGCTTTCGTTAAATATTGTATAAAGTTATATCAATATATTCCTTGAGCCTGCAGGGAGTATGTTTATAGAGTATTTTTTAGCTCATAAATTAAATAATTTATTATAATAAAGGTTACCTATATATATATATATATTCTTTTAGGAATAATACAATTTGTATAATTTTAAAACTGTGTAACATATCTTAGGAAGTGATTAAGAGGACTTAGATTGACTCACTATTTCTGTATATAGTACATATTAAAGTATTAAAAAAAAAAAAATAAAACTACTTTATAAGAAATTACGATTTAAGTCTTCTAGTTTCATGCTATGCATTCTACTTCTAGTTCAAATCAGTCAGTGTTAAAAAGTACTCAACTGAATAAAAATGCACTAAATGGAATTATTGATTTGGATATAATTGTGAGAGGTGATATAAATCACGTCGTCCTTAAGTCTGAACTATAGTAGTAATTCGAATAAACAATATTATATTATTTTATATTTTGATTTTGATTCTTAGAAGTGTGTTCGGGATTCCGAAATAGTGTTACACTTTACTAAAAATGCACTTTTTAAATTTAAATTTTGAATTTTCTAATTTTCATATTATAAATTATAAGTCTGATTTAAAATTTAAATATTATTAAAAATAATACATTTTAACTTTTCAAGTGTATTCCTCTGTATTGCGCGTTACTATTATAAGTCATAAGAATATATTTATGTACGAAAAAAAAAACCAAAAACATAATTATCAAAAATATTATTTGGAAACAATAAAGAAAACTAAAGTTTTTGAAAACGCTAATTAAAAACGATATTTGCAAATAATATAAAAAAATAAAGTTTTTGATTAAAAACGTAATAATCAAATACGAAAACGAAAAAATTAAAAAGTTTTCCATCCCTATTTTAAATAAATGGTGTTGTCTATCTACATATACTATACATTCCATATATTTATAGCTACCTGGAAAAAATTATAATAAAATATATATTTTCATTGTAATGTAATTCTCACTTCAGTATAAATAATATATACTATAATCAGTAGTTAATAAAATAGGGGTTTTTTCACCTTTTTTTGTCCATTTAATTCATTATTTTATGTTTTTATAATATTTCAATGTTTTATGCAAAAAAAATAAAAAGTTCGTCTATAAAATTCAAGTAGTATGCATGCATAGAAAGATGAGCAAGTTCAAATAATAATGATCACACGAGTGAGGATCGAGTGGTCTGAAAAATTAAATAAATACTCAGCATTTCTGAATTACTCGGTTAATATTGTCGGATATATATTTTTTTCTGCACATATTTCTGCAAACAAGGTTATGGTTTAAAATTGGCAATGAGTTCTCGTTAAAAAAAAATCCTATTAAATTATGGGCTTGGCTTTCATTGTCAGTCTGCAGAACTGATAAAATATAGAACGCCCACAACAAGTATTCTCTGTTGACGTAGAAAAATTCAGTTTTTTACATTATTATACAT